AAAAACTTCGGGATAGTAGAACTGTGACACTTGGGAAAATTCTTTTAAGAAACGTGGGACATTTTGGTGTACACCATTTCCTTGAATCATCCCTGCAGCCTAAATGAGCAAGGCAGCCGCACTGTGACCGCACAGCCAACACTGGTCCATTGTACTAAGTGGTACTTAGAGGCTGGGAACTCGTTTAAGTATGATGAGCCGAGTAGAAGTGACTTTGCTCAAGGCTCGTCATTGTGGTCTGAATAATCACTAGAGGGAGATGTCTTCCAGGAAACTGGCTGGATTTGGTATCCGGCCCCAAAATATGATGCAGCAGTATTTGGACGGATTATGCATTTTACTAAACTGACTCAGCAAATTGCCTCTCAGTAACTCAGGGTGAAAAAAACATGCACCCTTTGAAGAAGGAACAGTTGCCATTTTGGAAGCAAGGATATCCAACTGGTATCAGCAATCGAATTTAAGCAGCAATGCCCAGTTGTGGGGCAAGCTTAGGCAAGAAGAGGCACTCTGTGACACTTAAGTTGGTCTCAACTATGGCATATGGCAAGATGACTGGTGAGCATGGTATTTACTGCTATTGAGGGCCACAGAGTCACAGTAGAAAGGGACTTTGGCTCTCTGTGATACAGCTGGCAGAGCTCCAATACATTAAGGAACAAGCCTGGATTCACCCCATGGGAGAGAGATGAAAGTGCTCAACAATAACATCTGGAGCCCGAGTTAATGTGAAACATCCCTTAGTGGGTAATGTAGTTATACCCCAGCATCAGAGAGAACTTAGAACTCACTGAGGCCAGTGAGATAGCTCAGTAGAATAAGCACTTGCCTGGCAAGGGCAGGGTCCTGAGTTCAATCCTGGGTACCACAAAAAAAAAAAAAAAAAAAGAACTCACTGAGCAATGACCTCTAGTTATTACTCCAGTTATGGGAAATGAGTGATGTACAAAAAAGAAATAGTTCTTCTGTTGGGAAGGTTAAGGACATTGGCATGGTTATAATAACCAATGTGGGGGCTGGCAAGGTAGCTCAGTGGACTAAGTGCCTGCTTAGGCAAGCACAGTGACCGGGTGTTCAATCTCTGGCACTACACGACCCACCGACCCCAGGAGCCCTGAGCCGGCCACTGTGACTAGGTATGGTGGTGCATGCTTGTAATCCCAGCTCTGGGGAGGTTGAAAACAGGAGGATCACTATAAGTCTGAGCTGCACAGTGAGTCCCTGTACCAAATCCAGTAAAATAATAGTAATAATAACTGCTGTGTTCTTTCTGACACACGCATGTGGTAAAATAAAGATTTCCAGACTGTTCCTATCATAGAAAACCACAGATTGGTACATTTGTAAAGAACAGACTTTTATCCCTCGAGCTAGAAAATCTAAGCTCATGGCAGTGGCATATAGTGAGGCCTTCCTCGCCGTGTAATACCCGGCAGAGAACATCATGTATTTCCCTCTGATCATCCTTCTCCTCATAAGGCTACTAACCCCACCGCAGGGACCTTACCCCAGGACTTCAACGAGCCCAAACCAATCCCCGAAGACATACCTCCAAATACCATCAACATATGAATTTGAGAATTAAATTTCTAACAAACAAAATTTTGAAGGGCCTACTGAACCATATGAACTGAATTGTAGAAATAAATGAAAATGAAGCATAGGCATAAAATGGTTTCTAGACTAAAAAGATATTTTGAGACGTCAACTCAAAACTTTCACCTCATATAGTATTCATGGATATTAATTAGCCAGAGAAATAGATGAATTTAACTCCAAGAAAGTAAATGTGCTACCAAATGTCTCTGTTGATGCTTGTAAAAATACAAGTGAAGGAGAAAAAGGCCGAGAGGATACTTCAACTAAAGAAGTGGAATAAATCTTATAAAAGAATACAATCACAGTTCATTGTAAATATTGGAAAGGAATTTCAACTCATTGGATGATAGATGGCCACATGAGCACCAAATTTTAAGATGTTTTTCTGTATCATATGTTATGGAAAAGTTACTACATTCACAATTTCTTTGTTGAGACAGGGTCTCTCTACATAGTTCAGGCTGGCTTCAAACTTTCAGTGATATTTTTGCCTCAGTTTCCAGGGTGCAGGATTACGTGCATGCCCCAATATACCTGGCCTTTTGTTTCTGAGAAGAATTTCTTTTTTTGCTGGGGCGGGGACTGGCTCAGGCCACCTTAAGGGCGGGTCTGGTAGAAAGAACCACAGTATCCTGCGCCTGACTGCATTTGCATAAGCAGGCACATAAACAACTGAGCTAACCAACAGGCCCCTTGTTTCTGTTTTTTGGGAGAATTTTGTTTATTTCATCTATTTTATATACATCCCTTCAACAAATATTGAGTCCCTGCTTATCTCCATCTTAATAAAGTGAGTGGGGGATAAAACCAAACGAGGTAATGCTTTTAAAGAGTTCCATGCTGTCTTAGTATACAAATACTCAATAAATCCTGACATTAATTAATAATAGCAACAGCAGCTACTGTCTGCAGGAAACTTACACTAACATTTTTTTAAAGCAGGAAATTCTGCCAGTTGCAACAACATGAATAAACATATGCTAAGTGAAATAATACATGCACAGAAAAACAAATGCCACACGATCTTGCCTATCTGTAGAATCTAACAAACCCAAACTTGTAAAAGCAGAGAGTACAGTAAAGGTTATCAGGGCTGCGTCTGGGCGTGGTGATGTGGACTAGGAAAGCAGCGATATTGGTCAAACGACGGTAAGCAGGCAGGGACAGGTCCTGGTGACCTCGTGCACAGTGTGATAACTACACCTGCTAAGAATGTACTGTATATTTCAAAGTATCTAAAGAATTGTTTCTTAGCCAGGCATGGTGGCACCCATGTAATCGAAGCACTGAGAGACAGCGACAGGAGAATCACAAGCTCAAGGACAGCCTGGGCTGCATAGCAACATCCTGCCTCAAAAACAAATGAAAAAAAAAAAAGATGAGGAGGGGAATTATTTTTAAATGACAAATATTGAGCTGATATTAATTAGCCTGATTCGATCATTCCACAGTGTATACAAGCATCGAAACATTACATTGTGTGTCATAAATATGTTATTTGTTAATGAATAAATACATTAAAATAATTATTTTTAAATGCCTACAGAATATGTGGCAAAAGTTGTAGGTAAATGGATGAGTAACTAGACTCTAAGTTTTTCTTCAGCTCAAAAAAACTGATGATTTGAATTTTCATTTCATTTCATTTCTTCCAAGTTAAGGTTGCCGGGTTAGCTCAGTTGTCTAAAGCGCCTTCTTGAGCAAAATCAGTCAGGGGCAAGGGACTGCAGTTCAGTCCTTAGCACTACATGCCACACCAGACCCACCCTTAAGGCAGCCAAAAAAAAAAAAAAAAAAAAAAAAAAAAGAGTTCCTCCTTTCTTCCAAATAATCCAAAAGACACATAGGAGTATACCAGATCTATGATGAATTAGGATTTTTCTATGTAGTGAATCAGTATGCTGTATCTTCATGCAGATGTAGTGTATGAAGAAAACATACAGCATGCAGTATGCTGTTTCTGGGGTGTCCTCCTGGTTAATAATTGATGAGAAGCAGAAGCACAGAAAAATAAGAGCTAGAAGTGCCTCCTGGAGAGGGTCATTTGACCGCTGTGGCGTAAATGCCAAAGGGATCCAGATGCGTGCAGTGCCCGGGCTGAGCAAGTCTGGTTTGTTTCTCATGACCATTTACATTCCAGTGTGAAATGATTGTGGATACAGGAAAAAGAGCAAACGATAAACAAATCCACTACAGTTCTACTGCAATGCTTAAGGCTGACTTCATCTGCTTTTGTTGCTATAACAAAATACCTGAGACCAGATAATTTATAAAGGAAAATAATTCATTTTGGCTCATGATTCCAGGGCTGAGATGTCCAAGAGTGTGGTACTTGCATTTGGTGAGGACATCATTCTACTTTATCTTACGGCAAAAAAGCATCAGGAGAAGGACTGACATTCTCCAAGCCCCTGGGGCTGTACTTGCTCTGCTTTCTAAACCTGGAGAAGTCTCAAGAGCTTTCCACAGAACAACATTCTGGTTCCTCAAAGCACAAAGGGCTCCAGCGAGGCCTGAGGAAAGATGAACATTAGAGCCTGAGGGAGGTCTTTGGACCAGAGCAGTCCTTGTGAAGACACAGCTCAGCCTAACTCTGTCTTCTGAAATGAAGAGGCACGCTGGTGCCAGCAGTAGGGAACGAGAGCAAAAGCTGAAATGCTGTCAGGAAAACCCGTCGCCCTGTTGACTGGTGTCTGACTTTCCTCCCGTTCACCTTGTTCTGCTCACGGCAGTAGGTGAAGGGAAATGCCAGGAGACTGGAGGCTTTTGTTGAAGTATGGATTCTGAATAAATCCTCAGAGGTGGTGTGGAAAAGGTTTCTGCTTCTGTAGAAATTGCATTAGAGAAAACATCTGGATACAGAAAGCAACCATGACTAAGTGGTCCACACTTAGGATCCACACCTATGAGTTATGCCTTCCTCATTACCAGTCATTCAACAACAGTTGTCTCCAAAGTATCTATGAAGCAAGCATTGTCTAAAACATTTTAAGTGTTTTGATAAAGCATCAGTGAATCAGAAAAAGCTTATCCATGTGTTATTGTCCAAAATCATGAAATGAAACTAACAACTATCTGTGTGTACAGAAAGGGGTGGGTGGCCACTATGACTAAGCTCTGCCTTTTGTGTGTTTGGTTGACCTAAGTGCGTGCCAGGCAGATTTCCACAACTGAACTATGACAGGCTACTTTAAAAGATTTCCGTCTGCCTCACAAAATAAATAGCTAATGTTGGGATCTGGGGCTTCCAACCACCTGCTGGGTGTTGGGATTCTTCCAAACTTTTGCTCAGAAAGTCTTCCTGACATACCTCTCTGACATAGGTACTCCTATTATCCCCCCTTCATAGAAGGAGAAGCTGCACCACAGGGACACTACATAACTGGCCTTAGACCGCTTACCTGTTGAAGGGCAGGGCCATGTACTTAGAAAGAGGGTCAGAGCCTTTGTCCTGGCCTCCTGTAGCATGGTCTCTTTTTAAAAAGAAGCCAAGAGCCCTCAGTTCCAGTCTTGACTCTGACCATGAAAGTCATAATAATTAAAGTCCTGCTTCCCATCATTTTTCAATTTCTTACTTCCGTGATCTCCAAGAGCTTTTCCAACTCAGAGCTCCCAGGAGTCGACATTAAAATGTAGTCAGTAAGAAAGCAAGAGACACCATCAAAGACAGAGGGCTCTTGATGCTCCTCATGGTCTGTCTCCAGCCACACTGAAGGAAATAGAACGAGGGCTGCTCTTCAGACAGTGGTTCGAGAACCACTGCATTTCTCCTTCACATCTGTTCAGAATCCTACATGACCATCCAGGCATTCTTTCATTCTGAAAATATTTATCAGGGGACTGCTGTGTTCCAGGAAGCCAGCCAAATTGGGTGGTGTAACAAGGAACCAGATGTAGGCTTCATCCTTGGGCAGCGCACAGTCTAGTAGAGAAGACAGAGCTGTAAGTACTAAGATTCAGTTCTGTATCATGCATGAGAGAGGACGCCTAATCCAGAATTGATGGCAGAACGTCAGAGCAGGCTTCTGAGAGAATGTGGTATCTAATCTGAGCCCGAGGGTGAAAACCAGTCACCAGGGTTAGCAGACAGGAGGAACAGGCAATTTCAGGCAGATAGAATAAGGAGTCCTTCAGGCAAAAAGAAGCAATACTTTATAATTGGATTACAGAATACAAGAGGACAGGGGGAAAGGCAAGCAATGAAGCTTCATAGTCCAGCAGGACTGGCATCAGGAAGAGCCCAGCAAGCCACAGAAAAGAGTTCGACCTTTAGGCTGCAGGTGATGCAGAGGTTACAGAACAGCCTGCAGATGTTCTCTAGACTACAGAACCGTGCAGAGGTTCACATGGCCCAAAAGCAGAGGTTATGGATTGAACTGTGTCTCTGAGTAAAGGATATGTTTGGGTCCCAACCCCTAATACCTCAGAATGTACCCTTATTTGGTGAAAAAGCTTTTCCAAGAGTAGTTGAATTAAAATAAAGCCATTAGGATGGCTCCTAATCCAACACAACATTTTCAATCTTTATAAAAAGAAAAAAATTGGACATAGGCGCACGTTCCAAGGGAAGGTACAAGCCAAAGAGCGGCCCAGAACAGAGGACTTCCCTCCCAGCCTCAGATGGAACCAACTTCTTCAACCCCCTCAGTTTCAGACTTTCACCGTAAGAAAACAAATGTCTATTTTTTAAGCCACTCAGTTCATGGTACTTCTTTATGACAACCATCACAAGCTAATACAAAGGCTTGTTTGTATTTGTGTTTTAGAGAACTTGATCTGCTCTGTAAAGGCAGCAATAGCTGACTCAGAGAGAGCTTGATGGACTGGAAAGCTTTGTAGAGACCAAATTTCCAGGATGTGATTATAGGATTATAGGTTGGGCATGGGAAATGAGGGAAAATGAAAGAACAAGGGCAGCTTCCGGACTATGTTGAAGCTCAGGTAAACATGTAACCAGAGCAAAGCCTCACCAACTACCTTGTCAAGGATCCCAGACCAAAAGTCCATCCAGATAGGCAAGTTAGGGAAACACTGCCCTATCACCACCTTCATATTAGTGTCCAATTCTGGCTTTGGCGCCTCAGCTTCACCGTCAGGTGTGGTTTCATTTTGTTCAACAAATATTTACTAAGCAACCGCAAGATGCCAGACATTATATTCTAAGCTCCAGGGACATCATAGTGAGGTGAAGGAAAAGAAGGACTCTATGATTATGTCAAAGTGCAGACAAATATTCATCATACTAACAAATGAATAATTCTTGGTTGCATTAAGCTAGAAAGAAAAGGAGCAGAATTCTATGTAAGCACGTGACAAAGGAACTCAATCAAAAAAGTGATGGCTGAGCTTAGATAAAGGATAAAAGAGAGGCAGGAGAAACACCCAGAATGAGGCCACCCTGAACAAATGCAGAAAGAACCTGATGAACAAAGAAACTGGACAGAGCCCCAGGGGAATGTAGGCAGGGAGAAGAGCTAATTAGTGCTTACTGTAGGCAGTGGGAAGGCATCAAATCATTTTGGAATTCCTGAAACAAAATAGAGACACAACAAATATTCCTGAAAGGGAAGACAGCATTTTACTAGATTGAGTAATATCCCCCCAAAAAACTTCTTGCCCACTAGCACTTCGAAATACGACCTTATTTGGATACAGGGTCTTTGTAGATTAGACATCTTTGTAAATTGAGGTCGTAGGAAATTAAAGCTGACTGTAGACCAACATCCCTACAAAGAAAGGAAAAGTTAGACACAGACACAGATAGAAGAGTGTCACTTGCAAACACAGACAAAAAGAGGGACGGTGGCCCTGTGAAGGTACACGTTGAAGAGATATATCTGCAAGCCAAGGAGTACCCACAGCCACTGGAAGACAGGAAAGAGATAAGGAAGAGATTTTTTTATTCTTCATGTCTCCAGGAGAAATAAATCCAGCTGTTACCTACATTATGGATTGATAGTCTTCAGAACTGTCGGAGAGTGAATTTCTACTGTTTTAAACCACTCGGGGTAAAGGTAAAACCCTAGAGAACCAACACAACTTTAATCCAGTCAGTTAGATGATCAAATGCATATTTTAAGTCATCACTGTGGGGGGTGGTATCAGAAAAATGGCCTCAAAGGAGGGAAGCTGCTAACATCCTCCAACACAGACCTCTAAATCTGTCTACACACAAACACTTCTAGGTAATAGCCTTCCGATTCAGGTAGGAGGTTGTGAAAATCCAGTGGAGACCAAGATCTTACCAGTCATTTCATGAGTACAACCTGCACCCAAGAGGCAAGCTTAACTTAACTGTTCTAACAAGACCAAATTGTGCTCCTAAGTTGAAATATGGAAGTGGCCTTATTCCCCAAAGGGCTTGCTACAGCCCCATTCTGGCCTTAAGTATACAACCAAATCTATGGGGCAAGGGATCCAGGAACAACTGGGCAGACCTATGCCTCAGCAGACAACCTCTTCTGCTCACCAAAACTGGTTCAGCAGAATACCTGAAAATGGCCCTGTAACTAAGCCCAGTCCCTCGCTGCTATGATCCCAGCAGAGTGCAGTTTTTTGTGTGTTTTTTGTTTGTTTGTTTGTTTGTTTGTTTGTGTTTTATTTTTAGAGTGCAGTTTTTGCAAGGTCACAAATTATCCATTTCTGACAAAACTAAACAAAAAAAGGGGATATAAGTGAAAGACCATTTTGTATCTGTTTATTCAAAATAGTTAGGATAGATATACAGCTACTTTCTCTTAATTCAATGAATAGAAAGATTTGTACTAGTAGTGTTTGTGGACAGGATATCATGTCTGTATCTTATACTATGAATAACTACTAGGAAGACAACAATATGCAATGTATCAATTATTGAAACTGTCCCACTAATTGGTTTTGAAACTCTCCTTGCTATTTGTTTCTCAATAAAATTAATTTTTTAAAAAAGCATACACACCATTCTGGGTCACTATGGGGGCGGGTGCCTACAGGCTTGCAAGCATCCAACTCTCAGCAGTTCCAGAAGAGCTCCTATCTCAGCTCCATCCCCTCTGTGCCACAGGCAGGCCACTGTTCTGATAGTGCAGAAAGCTGCTGGGATGAGGTACCAGCCTGAGCTACTAGAACAGGCTTGCTCCTCTCTGCTACACTCCTGTCAGAAGATCCTGAAGGTAGCCTGTCTAGCCCCCAACCCCACTCTACTATATCCCCGTGCTGTTTCATCTGTGCAGATGGCTTCTGGGAGATGGACTCAGATGAGCCTGCTGGCCTCCTCCCATCATAAGTCTAGGAAGGGACTTCAGTGTCTGTTCTAGTCCTCTCAGTTGTGGCCTGTGAATAGTCCTGCCTGCAAAGGAAAGTACTGGAAATTTTGCCTGGGCTGCCATGTTGGGATTGCCAACGTCAGACCCACAGCAGATTTAGAATTAGCCTGACGCTCGAGTGTAGCCCCTCGGAGCTGTAATCTGAGAGCATTTCTACCCAGTGGAGGTCCTACCAGGAGACACAACAACCTGAGCCTCTGTGACAGACTTGATTATCTCTTTTAGCAGATACTCAAGTGTCCATGGGTTTCAGTCTTGGCCTCTCTTACCTATGCACTGGAGCAGACTGCCCAGAAGAAATCTGGAGGAGGGCATGCCCATCGTGATTTCTGATGACTGAAGCCCTGACCTTGATTACATTGTAAATTCTTCAAGAGTGCCCATAAATTGACTCCAGTCCTTCTCCAGTGAAGTCTAAGAGCAATTTTTTTCACCCAGGAGTTCACTTGGAGACACATTTCCCATGATCCTGAAGACAGACCCCCCAAAAAAAACTTGTCTCAAATATTGTCCCAGAAATCTGTGCATCTCAGTTCCATCTCTGTTCCACAACTGTGGACAAGAATGACATGACCAAGACAGAGACCCATCCAGTCTTCCAACAGGAGCCCTTCCTAGAGGAAGACTCATCCGTCTTCATACCAGGTAATAAGGCCCAGCTGTTTGAGAACACTGATGCAGATCCTCATTATAGGTCAGCCCCTCATGGGACTCTTATCTGGACTTTATTGGCTGTACTGGGACTAAGTCATCCTCTACCACTGAAGAGGCAATGGCAGTAATGGGTTTAAGGATCGTGACAGATTAGTCTGCTCAGAATTTCCAGGTGGGTCTACTGTAGAAGAACAAACAGACAAAAACAGACTACAAAGACTAGAATAAATACTTAAATTATCAATATATAATCATCAGTGTGCAATCCCCAAAGATTAAGAACAGACAGGGAAATAGGATGTGAAACGAACTAAACAAGGTACGGATAATTGAAGCTGAAGACAGGTAGTTATATGATATGCCTGCCAAAGATTCCAAAATGGATGTTATGAAATAATTCAGTGAACATCAAGAAGAGACAAATAATTCAGAAATATAGTAGAATAACTTAACAGAAAAAAGCACTCAGAAATTCTGTCCAGGAATTACAATAAAGGTTACAATGGATAAAATGAAAAGAGCAACAGAGAACACCAACAGTGCAATAGGTCAACCAGAAAAACAAGAGTCACTGAGATGTAAGACAGGCTATTTGAAAATATATAGTCAGAGGAGAAAAGGAATAAGAAAGCTCATGAGATTTATGGGACAACGTCAAAGAAACAAATTTTAAGAATGATGGCATTAAAGAAGACAAAGGGGTAGAAAGTTTATTCAAAGAAAGATAGCAGAAAATTTCTAAACCAGGAGAAAGACATATTCCAGGTGCAAGAAAGTAAAAAGCTACCAATCAGATTCAATCTAAGTAAAAC